ATATGTAGAGGGATGCGTTTCATAAAAAGAAGAATTAAATTTTGCATGAAACGATTCGCAACAATTAGTTGTTTTTGTAACCGAAGCACTTTCTTCCGCCCACACAGAAGGAGGAAATTTTGCGTTTTCGCCAGTTACATCTTCTACAGCCTTTCTTTTACACGCATTTGAAACATATTGCCTGTGTACCTTTTGTTCATTTATTTCATAATTATGAACATCATATTTTCTTGAAATTAGGTTATCTGTACCAACTGTATAAAGTTTGGCTTTACAATGCAGTTTTTTGGCTACATCTCCATGATGTCTCGCCACTTTTTAAAATTTTGTCTTTTGAAAATGTAAAATTTTCATATAAAATTAAATCACTCCCACGTTCACTTTTAATGACTGACACCGACATATTCCACCTGCACGCTATCAACAGTAGAAATATACTAAATTATAAATCTAATTGACCTGAGCAAGTAAAGAACATTTAATTTCGGGATTTAGATTAGATTACATTAAATATTAATTATCTCTTGCAGGCAGGTAAGGTAGTTAAAGAAAGTGCGGCGCCAAATTTACATGTATAGATTATAGACCCTTTTAAAAATACTGGTAAAGGGATTTTTTTGCGTCCAGTGTACTTCCGTCCAAAAAAGAATATAAAGTTTTTTATAAGAATTGATAAATTATGTTCATAAAATGTCTTATTGGTTTTTATTATGTCAAATATTCGTAGCTAAATGCAATATTAAGTTGTATAGTGACAAAATAGCTATTTATGAAACCAGTTGTGAAATGCCTTATTTTATGCAACGAGTAAATATTTGCGGGACACAACATAAACTAGTTAAAGAAAGCGCCATTAACGTGTTACAAAATTTTCTCTAATTTTGACTAAAATTGTGTTTTGGTTAAATATTACTGACATTTAGGCCACCAATATTACTTTCTTATACTATTAGTTACATATGCATCAATTTATTGACAATTAGAACATCATTATTAATTATTTATTCTCAACGACTTGCAGTTTGTTTATATTGTGTATTAAAGTCATTTATTTTTAAAAAAGTAGGTTATTTTGTCGTGTATTGTGTTTTAATTATTTTTTGCTGATTTGGACTGGAAAATAAGGACCAAAACAACATTATTACTAAATTGTAAGTTTAACCAAGTTCCATTTTTATAAGTCAGCCTGTCGTTCTTTGATATAAACTTTCAGTAATAATGTATATTTTTGTTTTTAAACCTAAACAAAGGTTTATTTTTATTTTTTTGGTGACTTAATGAATTTTTCGAAACCAGTTTCATAATGTTCAACATTATACAACTGGTTGCGTAAAGTAGATCATTTTGACACTAGCTGCGATTACAACAAATGTCACTTTATATGTCAAAATTGGAAAAATGTATTTATGTTTATTTGAACTAAAATAGTTTTTGACCATTTCTTTGTCAATGGATTTGGAATTAACAGGGAGCTTGTATTGAACATAGAAAGTTAGGAAATTTTAATTCAAATATATTTGCTATAAAATATCGGCATCGTTCGCATAAAATAAACAACTTTTTATATGGTACAGGAGTATCGACAGTATCAATAAAAACCTTCAGGCCGGATTATTTGATAGATATTTTAATTCTGTAAAAGGCAGTTTGCCGAGCACTAAGAGGGCTTTTGTTTTAGATAAAAATTGATATGTCTATATGTAGATTGCGCCGCACTCAATATTTTTTTTTTTCAATGAGAGATCTTTCAAATGTAACACATCTGGTAAAAATGCATTTTTATGCAGATTTGTTCTATGAACTAATTTCATCTCCATATTTATCATAGTCCATTATCTCGTTTGCCTCGTGAATATAATAATTATTGTCTTTTGGATATCTTCTGCAAATCTCTAAGTTCGTTTAAGAATGCCTTAAAATCGTTATATTAATTTTTTTTTTTAATTTTTGTAAAATAATTATTTTTAATTTTTATAGAAAAATTATGTTTTACATTGTTATATTTATATTTTTGTAAATTGTCTTTTTTGTTATTTTGGGATTGTGCCTATATTTAAATTATCTATTTTAAATTGTCCCTTTTAAATTGTCTGTTGGTTTTAATTGTGATTATACCTGCTAACTAACTTTTTCAATTAATATGTAATTTATATTTTTTTTCTCTTCATGTATTTGAAATCCGTAAATAAATAAATCTAGCCATTTTAGAAATATTTAAGTCCAATATTGCTTTTTCCAAACAATTAAAATCGTACAAGCCTACATTTTTGTATTTTATTACATTACAATGCAACACTTCTTTTACAATTACTATTACGACAACCTGTATTTATTTATTTCTAAAATATCCGGCCTGGGATATTTTATTTTATTGGTACACCCTGAATAAAATAAAAAGTAAGGGACCAATTACTGACCCTTGAGGTACTTCACTCGCAATGGATTTTATATATTATATCAAACGCCTTCTATTATATATTAATATGTATAACATGAATACACAAAAAGGACAAGAAGTGGAAACTTCATTATTATTATTTGTCGCATAATTTTCCAAAACAAAATAAATGACGTATTATTTGATTATGATTGGAATAAACAAAATACTTACAACTATCAGTATCAAATTCAGAGTTAATCCTATAATTCAAAGGCACCACACCAGTACGTGATTCGGCATCTTTTGGTCTACTATTTCTGGAAAATTTTGCTCTAAAGCCACCAAACAAGCCCATTTTTGTTTCTACGATGAAGCGTGTTTTCTAATTTTTTAATTTTAGTTTTTGAAGTTAAAAGTAGGTTTGTTGGAATAACATGAACGACTACTTACTTATCAGAATATAATATTATCGATAGGTTTTATCTTGCGTCAGGATTTTTTTGATAAACATCAAATAATTGTATGATCGACAGAAGATTATCATTTTTTTTGTTTGGTGATTAGAAAGCTAATTATGTAATCCACTCTGTGTAAAGATTATCATTCGTCAATTTTTTTCGTGGAAGTTTGCATTCAAGTATTATTATCAAAATCATATGTAATCACTAACATTCTAACGGTTTAGTAAATGTCCTCGCTCATTTTTTGTTTGGGAGGGTTACATTAAAGTCACAAACATTTTTTTTCTGACTCACCTTGTGGAATATCAAATGAAAACGCTTTGAAGCACGATTTTAAAAATCTATAATACGTTAATTTGCGTTACTTTTTCTTTAACATTTTCTCGAAAAGTTGGTCTTCATAAATATCTGAAAAAAAAATCACAAAAAAGAAAGTTGTGCTTTATTAAGACCTACTTTGAATCAGCGCCTGGCAACTAAAAAAATACAAGCATTCTTTTTAAATAGTAATAATAATAATAAAATGCCTTTATTTGCATTGTTATATATACAATACAGTAAACAATTTAAAGAGACGAAAAGCTTAGCTACTCCACTTAACCCCTCTTTGCAATATAAATATATAAGAAAAACATTAAAACAACATAAAAAAAACATTAAAACAACATCAAAAAAAAAACATTATAAACACAATAAAAAAAAAATGGTAATAGGTACATATTAGTAAACTAAAAGTTCAATTTAGTGACAATTTTTATACATATTATTAGATTATATTTAACGTATCTGTTTTATTAGTAAAAGAAATCTAATTGCGTTACTATTGTTCCAAGTCCGTTGTCTAGAGATCTCAAAATATCATCGGTTAAATTTAGTCATAAAGATGTAGTACTAAAATTTTTCCGAAAGCCTGATTGTCTGGCGATTATAATTTCATTTGCGACTATATTTGTTTACCTATAATGCATTCTAAAATTTTAGATACACAAGGAAGTATGCTGATAGGACGAAAGTCACTAATATTTGTAGGATTGCTTATTTTAGGCAACGGCTTTACTAATGAATATTTCCAGACAGTATTGAGTTTAGTGAGATCTGAAGCATTTTAGCGGAGATGTCGCTACCCGTTGCATTTGACTTTAGATTTAAAATATCTTGTTTCACCTCGTCCATAGTCGATAATTTTAAAGAAAATTTTATATTGGGCTTAAATTTACGTGAGTCATAATAATCAGTTGTTATGGGACAAGTATTTCTAGGAATATATTATACAGATAAAAAGTAGTTATTGAGTTGCACTGGATCTTTAAAACGCTCGGGAATTATAAAGTTCCCACTATTCTAGATAAGTGGATTTTTCTTTTGTGACAGCTCTGGTAACAGAAAAACTGTAGCCTCTTCACAAGTGTAGAAAATCAACATGAACTGATGTTTTGCTTTATTTGGTAAAATAATAGAACAGATTACAAATGTTTTACAATAAAACTACCTATTATATTTTCAAAAAATGTGACACGACACCTTTATTCACTTGTGTCTTCAATTATAAAAGTATACATTTTTTTAAATGAAATATTTTTGTATAACAAAGCTTTTTGTGTCTTCTGAGAATGGATTTTTTTTGACTTATGTTGTTTTTGAAACGACTGATTCAAATAGAGTTGCGACTAGTTAGGATATTTGGAGATGATAGAACGGTGTTTTCTTCCTTGGAGTAAAAATCTAATTGTTTTTGATTTTTACTTCCCTCGATAAGATGGAGGTATTGTAATCGTGAAAAAGACACCCTCCGAGAATATTTCAGGGTTCCTAGATATTAGCTATTCTACGCACAGACTACAAAACGAAAAAGTATGCAATTGCGTTCAACTGAACGAATATATTTCATATTCATTCTACCTAGTAAAAACACTGCATAAATATAAAATCCACCAATCACAGTTTATATTTTGGTCACCCGGTTACTATTTTTTTTTTATTATTTCATATTCCTAACATATTTTTACTGCCTATAATTGACGGTATCAACTATGTCCGTAACTTGAAAGTCGCTGGTGGTAGAATTTCTAAAAAATGATTACCAACGCTAGGCAGCGTTTTCTTAACACTGTTATGTTTAAAAAGTACGGGGTTATTTATGTTTCGAATTTATTTTTCAGTTTATCAACTGGTCTTCACATGGGACGCTCAAACATTAAACAAGTTGCTCAAAGGCGCTTCCACGAAATCAGTCTTTTCGTCAAATCTTTGTTTTTGTGCGCTCACGAAATAGCTCATTCCGATTTAGTATATACCTTCTTCCATCCTTTACTAAGAGATCAACAGCTTTCAGAAGAATATTCCAAAAAAGTCAAAGGTAAGTCTAACCACTGAAATACCACCAAATCTAAATAAAAACCCTAATTAGTTAATTTGATATTGTATTTTTTGTTTTAAACATTTCGAGGCACGTCATTATTTATTTTAAATTACAAACTTTGGATTATTTACTGACTTTCGCTAATAATACAAATATATATTAAAACCTTTTTTTTCTCTTTTTTAAACTCTTGCGTTACTAGGGAGTCTGGATTTTATATTAAATGATAATGTTGTTTGTGTGCTTTGTTCTTCATTATCAACAGTACAAGGATTATATTGGATTATAAAATACTTAAAAAAATTACATCGAAATCAATCATAAGATTATTTATTTCCTCTTCTATAATTTTTAAAAATAGCAAGTTTTTTTATTAATTTTATGATATACTGCAATTATATACCGTGGGTAACCAACCTCTGTTTTTTTGTTTGTTAAGGAAGTGATAACGGGCTAGCCCGGTACAAACAGTTTTGACTGAACTGTCAGTTGTAATTGAACTGTCATTATTTTAAGTCACATTCGGAGACTTGTAATGATATTGTCAAATAATAAAATTTTATTTGATTTGATTTTAGGTTGTAAAACGTAGTAAATTACAGTTGTACGATACACGTCCCTTACCTGATCTCTACGTGCTCGCACGGTCATATATCGTGCTCGCTAGCGCTCGCAGATTAACGATCGTGCTTGCATGTAAAATCAAAGTAACGGGATTATAACGTAAACTACTATTAGAATGCAATATCGTTCATTATAGTCTGATAAACTTTGACAGATGTTTAGAGTGCGTCATTCGTCATTCAGACAAATGGCATTCCCTAGCTCGGCTAAAGTTTATCGGGCTCATAATTTTAATGAATCTTTTTGTATGCGGGTGTCTGACTGCCAATTAATACTACAACTTTGAATTTTTTTTTTGAAATCCATCAATACAATGAAAAAATATGTTCTAGATCGCGCAGATTTTCAAGGCGAATCGGGCCGCCTTAAAGGTCAGTTGAAATTAGCCTTACAATATAGAAAAGGAGTGTTTAGCGTTATGGTTCATCACGCAAGAGGATTACCGAGATCGAGCAATGGACAAGAACCATCGACTTATGTCAAAGTATATTTACAGCCCGATCCGCAGAAGAACACCAAGAGAAAAACCAAAGTTGTTAAGAAGAATTGTCATCCTAGTTTTATGGAAATGGTGAGTATCTTAATACATGTACATAATTTAATTATAGGTATAGGGGAGAAGGGGACAGCTTGATACGCATTTTAATGCACCACCACTTTAAAGCAAACTATGAAGACTAATTTAACGCTAATTGTATTATTACATACTTTTGGTAATTCACCCACCGAATTTACGAAGTTAAAGTGTTAATATTGCAACTTGCACAAGCAACATTTTTGCGTGACACAAAATAATGATTATGTGAATTACAAGAGATATCTATATGCATCATTTAACTTTGTTAACTTTTTAATTTTCTCAAATCCTAATTATTGTACAATATATTAATTGGTTATAATAGCCCAAACTATACCTTTTTCCCAAAAGTGTGCAAACTGACGTCATCTTTCCAGGCCTGGATTTGCCATAAGGCTTACTAGGGCGCAATATATTTAAAAGCGGTCTTTCCTGGACTTTTTTTCATTACAGTTAGCAAATGTAATGAATTTGTTAATTTTTAAGATATACATTTTTTGTACTAATTTGTTAATAAACAAATGTGTACTCCTTACTTTAATCACTGTCTACCAACTGGTTCTATTAAGATAAGTAAACAGTGAACGCCGATATTGTTTTCTTGTTCTTGAATGTGAGCTACAAATTGATTATAAATGGAGGAAGGAGGGATGTAGGGCGAGGTTGCCTCCGGTATAATTAGTACTTAGTCGGCTTCAAATCGAAAATCCGGGCTTGTATCTGTCAATGACAATAAATCTGTGGGGCTTTCCGGTCGAACAAGAAAGGGAAATAATTGTTCAGTGGCGTGTAATATATTTTTTTAGAAATCGATAAATTTAAAAGCTTTGGAATAAAACCGAATAAATCCACTCTTTATGAAAATTAAGTTAACTGCGGATTTCAACTGACTTTATTAAATTACATCTTTATATACTACCTGTTCAAGTAAAACTGAACAAATCTTTGAAAAATTCAGCTCTGTAGTATACTGTGAATACTTATGTTTTCTCAGAGTATCTCTGTGATGAAACTAGCCCTATGTTTCCTTTCTGTATTGTCCCTCTCTTCTGTGGTATAAATATGTTATGTATTAATCACTTTTTGTATTTAATTAGGTAACCTTTTTAATTAATATAAACACAATAGGTAATAAAACTGTTTTTCTCTAATTGGGTACCGATTTATAAATTATTATAATTAAACTGGGTGGTTGTTGTTTTATTGTTGTTTTTTTTTTTTAAGTGTGTTGGGGTCTATTCTGTAACAATTCCTTTAAAATAGTCCTCCAATAATAATCATTTTTAAAAGGATGTTAAAATTCACCTTTAATTTTTAACGGAACCGATAAAGGCATTTTATGTTATAATTAGAAACATTTTGATTGAAGAATTACTGGAAAATGAAGGAAGGTATAATAAAGTACAAAACATTTATCATGTTGGTACATCTATTACATTTACATATTTCAGAGCTGAATTTCGGTTACATCAAAGGTCAATTATAGGGACTTGAGCGATCCATTTCAGTTACTAAATGTAGATTTTAAAAATATTTTTCGGTTTTTATAGTTCTAGCCAGAACTATAGTTAATATTATATAATCACACATTTGGCCATCTCGAAGAAATACGGCAATGCCTGCATATTTAAAAATACTTGCAACTTAGAACAGAACGATAATGATATCAACTATCTACAGGACAATTTTGATTTTAGTCAATCAATTATCAGTAGAAGTATAGATGAAGTAACAAATATAATTTACAATAACTTGTTCAATTTGTATTTCCTATTTTTTTTTTAATTTGGTTATGTCTACTGGGTTTATTTTCCTACCGTGAAGCAAATTTTGCTGTTCTAAAAAGTTTATCATCAACTCTTTTTGGTTTTCCGTAGTGCACGAGACATTTTTTTATTTTTAATGTATGTAGGTATGTTTTGGTTTTGCATTGAAAATTGAGGGTTTGTATAGTTGTTTTCAAATTTTTTCTTCTAATCCTTTAAAATTAGTTCAAATGAATCTTAAATGCGATGTTGGTAAGTGTTCTCTTGTCATTTTTAAAGGACTCCGTTAAAATAAATAATTTTTAACAGGCCTCTAAAATTTGTGTACACAGAACCATTTTTGGTTAAAAAAATTAACGGACCGCTAAAAGTTAAATTTTTAAAGGCCTCTATATTTTAACGGATGTTTTACAGAATAGACCCCATTATACTGTTCATTTCATACATCAAATTACTAGAAACTGACAAAATATATTGTTTATTATTGATATAAATATATATTTTATATGTTTCTTCTGAAGTCCAATAGGCCCTTGTTTTCATCTATAAAATGATTTGTAACTACTTTTACTAAAAATTCCTGCAGCAAACCATTTTTTAAATAATGTAGGTTGTTTTAGTAAAGCCATTTGAATTGTCTTGCTCTTGGTTGTGTTTAATGCTTGTAAGAAACCACCTCATCTGCTTCTGAATGTTGGGTGGAGAAAGCTACAATTAATTTAATGATAGTGAATGATATTTGCAGAATAATACTCTAAAATCTCACTATTAGGCTTTAATATTTCAGTTTATGATCGCTCGGCCCCTTTCTTCAGTTTCTTATGATTTTTGTGTGTAAAAATTGTTTGCCTACAACTCGCTCCAGACTTGCCAAAATTTCAAAATATTTCAGGATATAAACAAAGTGTGATCCGAATTTGCCTCGGATGTCGTATCCTAACCCAAAATGTTTATAATAAACCATTCACACAATAATATTTCTCTTTATAATTTAAATAAAAAGTAATTTATTTGAAATTTGATGGAAATCACTAAATGATTTTTCCTTGCTGTTTTGTAGGTGATCTTTCAAAAAATCAAACTACCGATATTATAAAACCTCTAATACTAGAACATAGATCAAAAATAAAAACATAAACAGCACTAGATAACAAAATATTAGATTTTTTAAAAACTAATATACGACCTCAAGTAGAATATTTTTTGTCCTTTCTGATGAGGCAACCGCTTCAATCAACGAACCGTGGCTCTCATCCCTTATATAAACACAATCTGAATGATTGCAATAAAATTAGGGCTTACTTATGGATGAATGGATTACTTTCATAGTTTTTCGTCGTTGGTCTTTACTGATTGTTGGTTAATAGAATTAGTGTCATATGGCAATGTAAGATAGATCTCCGATCGCAAGTTTGCCAAATATAACACGATTATGACAAATGCAGCGACTATTACGGTATAATTTATGACAAATGAGTAAAAAGTAAAATCAATGAAACGTCATGATTTAAATGAAAGATAAAAATAGGCTAAACATTTTTTATTCATACAGAACTAATATTTTGTATTTTCGATTGAATTTGCTCTAATTACGAGTTTTGACTTTCAAACTCACTTTTTAAAAACTAATAATTTAATTTTTGTAAATACCTTTAATAATTTTTATATTATAATTACAAAGTAAAATATATATCAAACTAAAAATAATACTGATTGACAATCTATTTATAATAAGAATAAATGCAGACATCGGTGGACGTTGGCCGGCCGTGGTTGCGTCGCTAAACCTTTGACATTTATGGAATGTGATGAGTAGGCAGGTCATTGTTCTGTAACTCGCTGAACATATCTCTATCAAGAAACGACATTATATATGGCAACATATAATTTGAATGACGTCAGTTTGCAAAATTTCGGAACTGGGGTATAGTTGCGTTTAACACTTTCGCTGCCCAAGCTTTAATGCCAACTACGCGCTCTGGCCCATCGGTATAGGAACATTTAGAAGTTTGGACGTTCATTAACGTCATGGGCCATACACAATACACAATGAAAAATTTATTCTGCGAAATAGCTATTATATATACAGGATGATTATAAATACGGACAGAAGTTAACACAAATAGAGAAAAGAATATAGACCTCAGGATGTCAAGTACTGATGTCAAAGGCCGATGGCTGATGGTGGACCGTACCTATAAATTCATTTATCGATCAAAGTAGTCAAGCACTTTATGAATGGATGACCCAAGTTCTCTAGGGAGTGGAATAAATGAGGAATTAATAAATCGAAATAAGTAGGATATCCAAATGGTGGTACAAATAGCCAATGAAGCTGCAGCCACCATGTCAAAATCTTGTAGGGAAGGCTGAACCATTCAAGGCGGGGAGTCAAAAACAATCAAGAGTAGTTTAAAAGGAAGTATGAGAGGATGAAAAAAGACGTAAACTCTTCGTCGTAGTTCTATATAGGCTGTCCCATTAGTACATAATTGCTTGATATATCAATTTTGAAAAAAAGTTATGTAGATTTGAAAAAAATATAATTTAAAAACATATTTGGATATAGAGAGTGTTGCGCTTTTACCTGGAAAGTAAAAACATGTTTTAAATGGAATACTCTGTATTTTATTTCAGTTTAAGAGTGGCATGGTAATACTGTATTTATCACTAGAATATTTTTCAACTTATAAGGACCAAGCTGTGATGAAACTACTGGTTCATTTTATACAGTGTATTAATTATACATATACAGGGTACCCCTTCAGTGAATAATTGATCGATAGATATTTTATTATTGCAGATATGAAGAAATGCTTAATATAAAAGTTGTAAGACCATATTTTACAATTATTCTTAAATATACAGGGTGTTTCAAAGAGGTGTCATAAATTCATCCTCAGATAGATTACCAAAAAATAAGTGGATTTGGCTATATTTGGCTACATTTACCTATATCAAAAACTGGCTCCCAACAAAGTTACAGGGTGTTAAACTAACATTCAGAAAAACTTTTTTTTTGTAAAAGTTTGCTGTTGCCATTTTTTCTTCGAAATTTTTGCCAGTGCTGTAGATTTGAAGGCCCAATATTCTAAGGAGAGAAAAAATTTACTTTAAAAAAAGTTGGGGGGTTGGGTACCTTTTAACCCCCCGTATTTTTTTTGACATAAAGAAACTTGCTTTATCGATCCTAAAATCAAAAAGAACTATGAATTTTTATTTTTTTTTATAGCGAAATGAACTTTGTATCTTTCTTAGTTAACGAGATATTTACAATTTTTTAACTGAATTTCTAGAGCAATTCGTTCGTCCTGGACTTAACATATCAACAAAACTAAGAGTAGGTCAGGAGTTATTGTGCTGTGCTCAAGCCACTCCTGCAAAAACTACATCTTTTATTTATATTTTTAACAGACTTCAAAAAAGGAGGAGGTTCTCAATTCGTCGCGATATTTTTTTTTATGTATGTTCAGCGATAATTTTTTAACACGGTGTCCAATTTCAATGATTCTTTTTTTGTTAGAAATGGGGTACTTCACGGGTGGTCCCATATATATTTGGTCAAAATTTAATAATTGGGTTCATGCGAAAATCCTTAAACTCTTCATTTTTATGTATGTTTAGCGATAATGCTTGTCCGATTTATATGATTCTTTTTTGTTAGTAAGGGGGTACATCAGGGGAGGTTCCATATAAATTTGGCACGTTTTTCAAGTCGATTTTTTTTAAATTTTTAATTTCTAATACTTATTGTTAAAAATGTATTTATAATATTGGATTGGCGCCATAAAAATGGTGTGTCACCCGTCCTCATGGGTTAACCATACCACTGATAAAAATACACGTTAGTTGGTGGTAAGTTACATAATAAAAGATAAGACCTTTTGTATCTGACAACTCACTCTTTATTTCCGTCAGATCAACTGACTCCCGTAGACCCAGTAAATATACATATAACATAAACTAAAACTAACTAAATATAATATACATATACAGTAGCATATTACCACAGTTGGGAAATGTATTTATTAAATTTAATAGTAAATAAAAAAAAATATTTTTTTAATTAAATAATTAACAAAAAATTAACAATTAAAAATAAACATTTGGTAATAATTATTATACATATTTTATAAACTATTTAATTTAGTAAATATTCAACATGTCCTCCTCCTTCTTGAATACAAAAATATAAATAAAAGAGGTAGTTTTTGCAGGGCGGCTCAAGCACAGCCCTAGGCACACCACTGATTTTTATATGCGTTTTTTGTACAATAACTCCTGACCTACTCTTAGTTTTGTTGATATGTTAAAAGACGGACGAATTGCTCTAGAAATTCAGTTAAAAAATTGTAAATAGCTCATTAAATAAGAAAGATACAAAGTTCATTTCGCTATAAAAAAAATTAAAAATTTATAGTTCTTTTTGATTTTAAAATGGATAAAGCAAGTTTCTTTATGTAAAAAAAATACGGGGGGGGGGGGGGGTTAAAAGGTACCCAACCCCCAACTTTTTTTAAAGGGGTTGCTTTAAATTTTTTTTCTCCTTAGAATATTGGGCCTTCAAATCTATAGCACTGGCAAAAATTTCGAAGAAAAAATCGCAACAGTAAACTTTCTACAAAAAAAAGTTTTTCTAAATGTTAGTTTAACACCCTGTAACTTTGTTGGGAGCCAGTGTTTGATATAGGTAAATATAGCCAAATCCAATTATTTTTTGTTAATCTATTTGAGGATGAATTTATGACATACCTTTTTGAAACACCCTGTATATGGTAGTCTATAAATGAGGGAAACCAAACATACTTTTTAAACTAAACACCCTGTAGGGAGTTTCGCCTTACAGATTTGGTTGTTTTCACATCGTTTTATAATTTTAATATACAGCGTCCCTAAAAATGTTTAACATTTTCATTCATTTGCTGTGATGCATACAGGGTGTGTCTAAACTTGAGGTTACGATATTCTCAATTTTTTTCAAATATAATATCCTGTGTGTTATATCACCAATTTATAAATTAATTTCTTTACTTTTTTCATTTTGTTTGGCATTCTATTCCCAAACGAATTTTTTCTCAAGATTTTGACGGTTTTACCATGAAAATTGACATAATTTTTTCACAATTTCCTAATTGGCTTTTGAAAATATGTTCTTATTTAGGGTAAAATGCTAATGTAATTTTTGGTAACCCATTTGTCAGAATTAATGAATGGTTTATTCCTTCGACGTTAAAGGTGATATGAATCATTGTAAATCAAATTTCAAAATTAATTTAGACTTAAGAAGGCCAAACAAAATAAAAAGTAAAGAAACTAAATTATTAGTTAATTTAATTTGTGGTGTAGGGTAGTCTATTAAAAAAAAATCGTAATCTTGCGTTTTGACACACCCTATATACAACGTAACAAATGAATGGAAAGTCAAAACATTTTCAGAATCGTTAAGTCTATTAAAATTGTTTGACGATGTAAAAACAAATAAATTTGTTATACGAGGGGGTTTTATTTTAAAACAGTATACATTTTTCCACCACTCATTTATGAACTTTTCTCTATACTTAGGAATAATTTTAAAATAAGATTTTACAACTTAAAAATGTCTTCGTATCTTCAATAATAAAACAGCTATCGATCAATTACGCACTGATGAGACACCCTGTATATGTATAATAGGCTAACATGATTATATCGTTAGATAGGTAAATTTATATTGAATTTAATGCTAAACTGATATACCGGGTGTTGCATTCAAATTGAGTAAAATGAAGTTACAATAAGCCATATTTATGAGATGTTTCAAAACACTCTGTATAAATTAAACTAGTTAATCTACAACTGTCATTATATGGATGTATTATATGCGTATCTAAGGCAACATAAAGCAATCCATATATCACTAGTGAGAATATATTCATATTACACGATTTTTGTCAATTATACCCCACTAGAATTAAAAATCATTAGATCTAGTATGCGTTTGACAAGTTAGTTGACAGCATGTTGACAGTTATTCGTTGTTCCCGATTCTTTTTTGAAATTAAACTTAAAATATTAAGCCCGTTTTAAGTGTTTATCAAATAAAAAAATGGAAGACGATGATTACATGGAATTAACAGCTCCTGAAATCCGCGACGCTGCTAAAGTGGCGTCGTTGGAATTATTACCTGAAATATCGAGGAAAAATTATGAGATTGCATACAACAAATTTATGTCGTGGAAACAAACAAAAAATGTATCCTCTTTTTCCGAAGACACTGTGCTTGTATATTTTATATGGAAATTTCTAGTAAATACAAATCGTTTACTTTATCGACAAACTGTTCCATGCTAAAAAGCCATACGTGCTTTGTTGAAAAGACGATCCGAAAATTACGAACCTAAGAAATCTGAAGCTCTGACTGGTGAACAAATTGAGAGGTTTATAAAGGAAGCCCCAGATTTTAAATATCTTGGAACCAAGGCTTAATCTACACATTTTTCAAGGTTGCCTTGATTATGGGGGTCATGGGTGCTTGTCGATCCTGTGAATTAAAGAATATGAAAATTGAGGATTTAAGATGTTTTGAGGGATGTTTTCAAGTAAACGTGCCACACACAAAAACCAAAGTCCCAAGGAATTTCACAATTGTGGATAATTTTTTCAAAATCGTTAAAAAATATATAGACCTCCGGCCCGAAAATGCACCACAAGATTTTTTTCTCAATTTCCAAAAAGGAAAGTGTACAAAACAAGTGATAGGAATAAACAAGTTTAGCGCAATGGGAAAGCAAATTGCTACGTTTTTTACAATTACCAAACCCTGAGAGATATACTGGCCATTGCCTCAGGCGTTCATCTGCAACATTGGTTGCTGGAAATCCGCCTCCACAGCAGAAGGGTGCATCTCCAATTCAAAAAAGAACAAAATAGAAACAGCTCAAGCAATTTTAAGTCAAATCAATAATGAAAATTGTGTTGGTCTTAATAATCCATCATCTTCTGACAGTGATCGTCATGATTCTGTACTCATCAATAGCAACACTAATTTTTCTTTAAAAAACAATAATCTCAATGATATCGGAGCTATTATTATTTCAAATTGTAATGTTACTATTAATTACATCAATAAATAACTTTAATCGAATTCCTTTATAAATTGGCGTTTTATTTCACACGGTGGCTTAAATAACAATCTTGTCAATTCTATTTATAAAAACTTCAAAGAATTTTTTCTAAAAATCCCCTTTTCGTTTTCGGTGAGCCCCCGTATTCAGTTGTAGATAAAGTATAGTATTCAATTCGTGTATAATGGACCATACTACACTCGAATATTTATAACACTCGTGTAATATGGTCAACATTATACACTTATTGAATAATATACTATTATATAATGTGTATTCGTTAGTTTGGTATCTTATAAGGCTGTATTTTAAATAATGTTCAACTCATTGATAAGCTACTTAAATTCTAATAATTTTATTTGGGGTCTGTATCATTTTATATCACAAAACATTAATTGCTTGGCAATCCTGTAATACTTTTTAAAAATATTCTTGGGTTCAATATGGTATTACCTAAGAATTACCAAAAACTGAGATAAAATACAGTGTTCCATTTAACAAATATATATATTTTTATTTTCCAAGTAAAAGCATAACACACTGTATATCCAAAAATATCATATATCATTTAATTAGAAGTCTTGCTATGTTAAATTCACAAACAATATCAAAACCAAATTCATAATGCACTCATTTAAGAACGCTTTCACATGCCTACGGGGTTATAAAGACAATTCACTGCATGGCAACTTCGTCGTAGCATACATCTTCAAATAAAACTATCATGACGTTAATAAACGTCATGGACAGCGAAAGTGTTAAAATCAAGTCTTCTTAATATTTCATATTTTAGTTACTTAGATTAGTGAGGTAACAGCATTTAAAAATTTACTGAATGACTCGTATTTTTTTCGTTTAGACGTTTTAATAATAATAATTTTCTTAATATTTCTACAGTTGGAATATCGTATGACATTGGAAATAATAAAAATGAGACGATTACAAGCGACCGTGTGGAGCTACGACGCCTTACAGGAGAACGAGTTCATGGGCGGCGTCGAATTAGATTTAAGTACATTAGATTTAAGCGAAGAAACCAGCGAATGGTATTCATTGATAAATCTCAGCAGATAGCAGTTGTTTCCGTTGTCGAAAAGCGCTTTATTTCTATCTTGTGAAGAATTCTTCATGATAAAGGAACGAAAATAATGTACGGTGTAATTCGTTTGAAATTCACAATTATATAGATATCGGTTTAGTATCAAGGATAAGGGCAGGTTGAGTGCTTATATATAGAAAATTGTTGTGAACCGAACAATAACAGTTCAATTGTTTCGTTTCTTTATTCAATTAATGATAGTATTACTGCCTGTCTAAATATCAAAATATTACACTATTATCAATTAATTGCGCACAAACATAATATATCTGTCAATGGACTTTTTGGGATTAATATAAATGCCACTGGATGAGTAATAGGATTATACTGGGTGGCGAAAATTTAATAAAGAGTGTTTGCGTTACCCATATAAGCATATAATTATCCTATACACGTCTATGGGATGTGTTTATCGAATATTGTGGACGTCTATAGCCTTTTTTATTGGACGTCGGACCTAAAATATAAGAGATTGACATTTGGGAAAATGTCATGGTTTAAATTTATACCGGAACGTTTGGTTTAAGAGCCTCAAATTATGTCAAAATCAGATATCTTTGCCTTAGCTCATCTAAATTATTTGGCCCATTAAAATACACCTTTTTTTTTAAATTTTATGCTATAAGGTGGCTAATTAAATATTAAAATTGACCTATACGAGCGTTTTGCTTGAAAACATTAAATAATGCTATTATGAATTTTGTTCCTTACTTTATCACCACACTGTAATATTTTGAATAATATAAAAATATAATTAACTCAAAGTGTGCAACTAAATTACGGAACAAACTAATTTTTTTAAATATCGAATTTTGAAAAACAACGATTTTTATTATTAAGTGCCAGTTAAAGAGATATATGTAAAAAATAGCCCAACATCCCAAAAAGTATAAAGTGTGCAGCTAAATTACGGAACAAATTCGTTTTTTTTTAAATGTCGAATTTTGAGAAACATATTGATTTTTATTGCCCTAGTATAATAAACAAAAAAAAAATAACTTACTTATTTTATATTTTCCTCAATGCCTATTATTATTTTATGTAATATTCAGCGCAAATCGCGTTGGCACGACACTGGACGACCGGGCGTTGAGCGACGTTCCGAGAATTCCGAAATTAAGTGGAAGATGGGCACAGGGCACAGTAAATGTGTGCCTCTGTTGTTTTATCTCTCATTATGATGCGAAAAACAAGGACAACGATAATATCGCTTAGCAAGAGATGAACATATGCGATGGATTATACGTCACAAGCGGGGCGCTGTCCTCATCGTGACGTGCTGTACCCATGGTTTATTTGTTAACCTTCAACTTAGCGCTGCTGGGTGATTTTGCTTGTTGATCTTTTGGGGCCGTAAATTTCGGTAATTCTTTTTGTAATATATAACAACTGATACATCAACTCAAATGCAGATGGTTTTGATAATCAGATATGTAAGAGACGGTCGGATTTACGAAAGGTTTTCGAGTTTTTTGAGACCAATGGATCACACTGCAGACGGGCTTTCGGCGGCAATTCTGGAGGTATTAAGTGAACTAGGAATTGACAAAGTACCTGAAAAACTAATAGCACAAAGTTACGATGGTGATTCTGTAATGAGTGGTATTGTTGGAGGGGTACAAGCTACAATTAGTAACATCTATGCAAATGCCCAATATATTCACTGCTACGCGCACCAATTAAATCTAATAATTGAAAAGTGTTGCTCAATAGATAAGGCTGTAAGAGTTTTTTTTGCCAATCTCTCTGCATTTTCTGCTTACTTCTCCCGCTCTACAAAAAGAACAATCATTTTGGATAGAGTTGTAAAAAAACGGCTACCTCGTTCGGCTCCTACACGATGGAATTTTACATCGAAATGTCAATACTATTTATGTTTATAAAGAGGATTTGATTAAATGTCTCGAAGAAATTATGAACACAGAATTCGATAAAAAAACTATTAATCAGACTAAAGGGTTAATAAATTTTGAAAGACAGATTTTAGTTTCTGGTTATTTTTCTTCAGCAAAATAATGCCAAATTGCGATATACTTTTTGATCAACTGCAGAGTAGACAGCTCGATGCTCTCAAGGTTAAGATAAACATCAAAATTTTGCAGCAGCTATTCAAAATATTAGAAATAATATAGACACGCTAATTCATGAAGAATGGCAATCACAACAAGACCCACAAGAACTAAAGTTAAACGACAACACCCTATCAGGTCCAAGTACAATCAAGAAAAGATGGTTTGTTGAAAAGGAGGACCCCATTCCTAATTTAAGGATATGTAAGGAAATTTGTGATAGAATAGTAGTGCAGGCAAATGAACGTTTTAGTTTTACTACCCACCTAACAATTGCAAGTTTATTTGATAGTGAACAATTTAAAGAATACCGAGGTTGTTTTCCAAATGAGGACGTTAAAACTGTGTGTAGTTTATTTCCAAACGTAAACAGCTTAAAATTCATAAACGAACTGTCCATACTTTACATCCGAGATGACTTTGTGCAACACAATGGGGCTGTACCGTTATTACAAATGTTTTTTGAGAACAATTTGACAATTACATTTTCGGAATCTGTGGAGCTGCTAACTATCCTGTGTACAATTCCCATGACCACAGTGGAGAGTGAAAGATGTTTTTCGACATCGACACTAAAACGTATTAAAACATTTTTAAGGAACACTATGTGCCAAAATAGATTGTGCGCGCTAGCCATGTTATCCATCGAAAAAAAACTTATTCGGTCCATTCCAAATTTTAATAATCTGGTCATCGATCACTTCGCTAGTCAAAAATCCAGAAGAATAGACTTCAACTTAGGAAATAGTATACAACTGCAGCGGTACCTAGCAGTTAGTCTTCAATTTTTTAATACAGTGCAACCTCGATAATCCGAACCCACGCTAATCCGAATTACGCTAATCCGAACGCAAATCGTGATGCGAAATAGTCCAAACGCTGCCTCTGTATTTCGAACGCTGACAGGAAAAGAACTGCAGCGCGGCCCGCGTCGCCCATATGTAGTTTGATAATGCATTTAAATGTACAAAAATCAATATACATACATAGATCTAAAGGTCTAAAAATGTGTAAGAGGTGTTTTATTGTATATTCGTTAATCCGAACAATTCGATAATCCGAACAAGGTCTGACAATTAGGTGTTCGGATTAAAGAGTTTGCACTGTATTTAATTTGTTTTGAAATATACTTAATTTTCATTAAGCGGAGAACGAATCCCGGGAGTCCTTTCCAGTGTGTGCCCCACTGCCGCTAGTGCCCACGAGCCGCCACTGGTATTATTTCTTTAATAAGTTATAAATGAAATTGCGAAAAATCTCCCAACGACTTGATGTTCGCACAAGTTTCTACGACGCATAAAAGGATTTAAAATAACAGTTTTTCGCTAATATCTTCTTTCCTACTCATTTTACGAATATAAAAGTGTTAGTGGTATACTGTTAAAAAGCTGATAAAACACTAGAAAATAATCGATTAATGGAAAATATTCGATTAATTGCAAATAATCTGTTAATTAAAACGATTAATCGATAATCAATCTAAAAAATCGATTTTTTGGCCCACCCCTAGTAATGAATGTTGTTTAAGAAAATAAACGAAAAACTTGAAATTTCCTGTCTTTCGAATAGAATAATATTTGTTGACGTCGTGAAGCATGAGGGTACTTGATGGAAAATTGTATTTATAGGTCGATTGAAATTAAAAACAACATTCCGTTTTATAAAGAGAAACTAATTAAATTAATTTGATATAAATATTAACCCATGTAACTTTCGAAATAAAGATGAGACGCTTAATTATATTTGCACATGAGAAAAATAAAGAGAGGCTCTTGAATCGGATGCCTGCCTGCCTCTACCACTAGTAGGCTGGCACGTACTGTTCTGTCTCTGTCTAATCAATGGCATCGCTTATTCTATACCGTTCTTCTAGCGTCATTGAATAAAACTTAACATACTGTTTGTATGTTTTTTAAACGGTTTTGAAGACATGTAATAAAATTACCATTACAGCATCCAACGATGTGGCATTTATATCTAATCCCTAAAAACCTAAATTTAGGACGTTTTTTTTAGCGAAGGTGATGAAATGTTAAAGCGTAAGTACAACGCAAAGTATCGTGATTTGATTATGATTGGATAAAATCAATTGAAAAGTCTGAATTTACGAAAAGGAAGGTGCTCGTTAGGAATGTGAATGCCAAAAGGATTCAAAATATTAGAGTCCCTAAATGTTGTTTCTATACTTTCTTTTTTAATTCTGAGGAATGGGTGCATATAATTAATTATCTTTCATTCATTATTTGTACCATTGTATGTTACAGTATTATTTGAAAAATTTGATATTTAACAAAAATATATATATGGTGTATATCCGCGGATGATGGAGTTCACAAGAGTAGGAAAGACGTTATTAATTTTACAAAACATTTTGCTTATCGAGAAAATACGATTACCTTATAAACATCTTAGATCAGCTGTATATTGAAAATAAAGCCTGAATTCAATTTTTCAAATCAAAATTCCAATTTTTTACATTCAAAATAATCGATGGTTTTGAGCAATTATTTAAAGCAAGCTTTTTTAAAAAATTCAGCATTTTTTTGCGAAAGATACCATTAAAATGTAAAATTTGATAAAATGTGGACAAGTTTTGCAGATTAAGTCGACAATTTGTTTATAAACAAGTTATAAAAGTAATTTTTAAAAAACGACATTAAAATCGTGCAGATGCTCTTAAAAATTGAAATTTTTAATTTTATTGAAGATCATAAGATCCTGATCAACTGTATATGAATTTACCCCAGAGGTATCCATTTTCTAACAAAAAAGAATCATAGAAATCGGAAGTCGTAGTAAAGAATTATCGCTGAACATACCTACATAAAAAAAAATATTCCGACGAATTGAGAACCTCCTCCTTTTTTGAAGTCGGTTAAAAATTAATTATAACAATTTTTCTTCTTTTGTGAACTCCGTCCGTGAACGTACTGAATATACAGGGTGTTCCAAAATGACATATATTTAAGGAGACGGTTGCTAAGGCGTTTTTTTAAATTTCATATAAACTTGTGGCATAAAATTATTGATTTTCAATGTAACGTACAGAGTGTTAAAAGTTGGAACTCTAACGATGGTTTTATTTTAATAATTTTGATGCGTTTAAAATGAAATTTTGTACAAAACCTATTTGAAAATGATTAAAATAATAAAAATGTCGATATTTAATAAATTTTTAAAACAGGGACATGACAATATAACGTACATGGTGTTAAAAGTTGGAACTCTAACGATGGTTTTATTTTAATAATTTTGATGCGTTTAAAATGAAATTTTGTACAAAACCTATTTGAAAATGCTTGAAATAATAAAAATGTCGACATTTAATAATTTTTTTAAAACAGGGATATGACAATATAACGTACATGGTGTTTAAAGTTGGAACTGTAACGATGGTTTTATTTTAATAATTTTGATGCGTTTAAAATGAAATTTTGTACAAAACCTATTTGAAAATGATTAAAATAATAAAAATGTCGACATTTAATATTTTTTTTAAAACAGGGATATGACAATATAACGTACATGGTGTTTAAAGTTGGAACTCTAACGATGGTTTTATTTTAATAATTTTGATGCGTTTAAAATGAAATTTTGTACAAAACCTATTTGAAAATGATTAAAATAATAAAAATGTCGACATTTAATAAATTTTTTAAAACAGGAACATAACAATATAACGTACATGGTGTTAAAAGTTGGAACTCTAACGATGGTTTTATTTTAATAATTTTGAAACGTTTAAAATGAAATTTTGTACAAAACATATTTGAAAATGCTTGAAATATTAAAAATGTCGACATTTAATAAATTTTTTAAAACAGGGACATGACAATATAACGTACATGGTGTTAAAATTTGGAACTCTAACTATAATTTTAATTTAATAATTTTGATGCGTTTAAAATGAATTTTTGTACAAAACCTATTTGAAAATGATTGAATTAATAAAAATGTCGACATTGAATAAATTTTTTAAAACAGGGACATGACAATATAACGTACATGGTGTTAAAAGTTGGAACTCTAACGATAGTTTTATTTTAATAATTTTGATGCATTTAAAAAGAAATTTTTTACAAAACCTATTTGATGATTGAAATAATAAAAATGTCGACATTTAATACATTTTTTAATACAAAGACATAACAATTTTTTATATATACCGATATGTGTTCTATGGGTTTTACATGTTTTATTCAGGATGGAAAGAAGTGTAAAAAAAATTGAATACAAATTCCAGGCCCGTATTTAAAATAATCGATCTTAAAATGAAACGTTTAACATTTAACAATAGTTAGTTTTTCAGTACCAAAGAAACATTTTTCGGTATGTCGATAAATTCGTGGGCTTACAAGCAAAAGGCATTAAGTTAAAAAATAGGTTTATGAGTTATAAGCAATTTAAAGTTTCTAATTTTTTTTTGATAATTTATTTAGGGATTATCAACTGCTGTTTTTACATGATATACAAAAATATAAACTCATTTTGACAAATTTTTGACTTAGTGCCCACGAATTAAAAACGCTAGAGCCAAGTAATGATAAAATCCAAGATTTCAGTTATTCGAACACTCTTGTATATGTGGAATCTTTTAGCACCATATTATTGTCTCCGTCATTATGCAAGTTTTGCATTCTTATGTGGGACACCCTTTATAACTACCTATTCATAAATTGTTAGTACTAAAGAAGTATAATTATGACATTTAGGGTCTTTAAAATTAATCTAAAGTAATAATACTCTATATTTAATAATTTTTAGATATATATTGTAATAATTGAAAGAATGCATTTATTTTTGGTTGTATATTTAATGTTCGCTTATTTATATTCAATCTGGGCAAGTCTTTTGGTCAGTAAAAGACGTGATTTACCAACTTTTTATACATATAAATTTTTAGAATAGTAGGTAAGGTACTGTAATAATTCCTTCCGATTAAAAAAGTCAATTTTTCTGGAAGCAAATATGTGAATAATTAATCTATTACTAATAATTCTCACATCAATTTTTCAGAGACTCATTGTACGTTTTTCGAACATATCTTCAAATTAAAATCGTTTAAATAATATATCAATTAGTTTTAATAGTCGCGGGGCTTTGTATTACATTTTTCTTAAAGAAAAAACGAACATTTAGCTTTGCCGTATTATATCCCTTAATGTTCAAATTATGTTAATTATTCTAGAAGTCATGCAAAGTATTAATTAATAATTAATTCGTTGTCACAGAGAAACAAAATCTCACATTTAGTTTTCCCTTTTTTTTTTTTAATTTATCGAGAATAATATGAAATTACTTTAAAATCTACTTGAACATTGCCAATATAATAATTTTGTAAATTGAATATCCTATTAATAATGACATTTGTATTTCTAGTCATAATCTTTATCTTCTATCTTTATTAATAAAATCATTATAATATAAAATTTACATATTTCCACACCCGAATTAATATTGAAATATTTATGACGCTTTAAAACTGACTGATTTTGATTCCAAAAAAAAATTGACGATGTGAGATATATTCTAATATCTATTAACAATTATTATTCATTTTTTGCATGTTCCAAAATAACTTTTGAACGTTCGTGTTTGTTCATATTTTCATTAAATATCGATTGAACGTAATTAATCGTGTTTAAATTCATTGTCTTATACCAAAGTTTATGGTAATTTACGATTTTTGGAAATACACAAATTTTATGATAAATTCTTTATCTGAAATCAAATAAAGCGCTCAATATCATTAGGAAACAAATACTTTGTTGTTTTATTTTTAAGATGGATTGACATTCAAATCCATTAAAAAATTAAAAACAATTAAATTTTATTAAAGGGATTTTTGCTTCGTATATTAGTCATTGTTAAAGTAGAACTCGAACATATAATTTTAAGTGTCACAATTTCTGCGAGATCAAAAAGAACCGCTGCTATACTGAAATCTTATCGTGACACTAGAAAAATATCTTTTAATTGAAAGTTCTCTACAATGTGGGCCAAATTAAATGTGTACATTTTTTAACAATTAATAACATGTTGCTCTTATATTTACTTAGTTTTTATAGGACATGTGGGCTGGTATATTATTTCTAGTATGTCGAATTTTGATTGAAAAAAATGAACTTTTTTATTATTAACTTTACGAAAAAAAGGTTCTCGGTTATAAAGAACTCAATCAGGAATAACATTTTTCCTAAAATTAATAATAAAAAGTTTTCCATATGCCGCTAACTTACGTAGACAGAGTTAACGTCATATGGAAATCTTTTTTATTATTAATTTTTGGAAAAAATGTTCTTCATAAAAAATTGTGCATGGTCTAAAACCTAAACCACAACTAGCAGATATTAAAATTTATGAGTCATATACGAGGTCTGTCAGAAATAAAGGTACTTCTACTTCAGCAAAATTCATAATAAAAAATAACTTTTTTGTAAAGTTAATATTAAAAAAGTTTCCCATATGCTGCGAATTTAAATGAATACATTGTATTATATACAGATTGATCCATTAGTGCGTAATTGCATAGACATGCAAACAAGTTTCAAATAA